ACCATAAACTTGTAATTTTTTTTAAAAGCTCAACATTGTTGCTGCAATGCTGAATCACAGAGCTTTTATTTTGGAAGGTTGTGAATTTGGCTCTGGAGATTGTTTAACAGAAATAATGAAAAAACAACCTTCGATAAGGAAACTTAAAGATAAACTACACTCGAGAAGAGTAAGAAAGAAAATTCAGTTTCATTTGATGAGAAACAGAGATGATGGAGTCTTCAGTGCAGATGAACCAGGCAGGATGAACACAAAGTTTTCTAACTTCAGTTGAATCTTTTCCAACAAAAAGTTTATCAGAGAAACTGAACAACTTACTTTTTCTGAAGTTTTAGACTTAGACTTAAGAACAACTAATTATTTGAAATCATTTCATTTAACAAACATTTTCAACGTGACTCATAATTCTTTTAATTTAACGTTAATATTTAACGCACAATTCCACAAACTTTATTTCAAGTCTCCTCGCTGCTCGATGACAGGTGACCATTTTCTACCTGCCAGTCAAACGGTGCGGTTGTCATGGAGACGGCGGTGGGCTGGTCCTCTGCAGGTCATCGTGGACTGAAAGCAAACAGCCTGTGGTGATGGAGTGATGAGAGGAGGAAGAGGGAGAGAGCGAAGGGAGAGATGAAAGAGGGCAGGAGGAGAGACGAGTGATCGGACGTCCCAGAGGACAGGAAACAGTGTGTTGACCCTTCGTCTTCACCTCCGTCCTCCTCTCTCACCTCCGATTACTCTTTTCTTTTCCTCTCCACATTTTTATTTTCTTCAATCAAACGCTGTAGAAACCAGAAGAGATAATAAATGATTGTGTTTATGTTTGATTCCTTTAACTTTGGAGGAAAGTTCTGTGAAATGATTGACATGATTTTTACAGTTTATATAGAACTAGATATTTCTCATCAGTATTTTAGTAAAACTTTGGTTTATTGATAAATTACAATTTGTTTCTGAGTGATTTTTTAAAACAATGCTCCTTGAAAAAAAATCATATTTAAATTAAAACAACCGTGAGACCTGCAGAATAGAATAGAATTCTTTTATTGTCATTTCACAGAGTTCAGCAAAATTAAAAAGGTGCAAAGTATAAATAGGAAGAAAAATAAATGACATCCAGGATTAATGATTAGAAAAATGAAGAAGTGACTCAGTGGAGCTGAGACAAAGATCCATGAATACAAAATAAAACAAGAATGTTCCTGCAGATTTACTGGAAATGAATCCTCATGCTGACAAACGTGACTCAAGAAAATAATCAGAAGGTTTTTCAGTTTTTTGCTTCATTTACTAACAAACTAGAAAATAAAAGACCTTCAGAAAATTTGGATTTTTTTTATCTTTGGAAATTTTAGAAGCTTAAATTTGCCATTTGTCTTTATTTTATTTTAATGGATGAACTGATCATCTTTACTTTAAGCCTGATGACTGCACCTTTCTTCTTTAGATTATTTACAGTTTAAAACTTTTTCTATCTTATAAATTTTAATAAATCTCAAAATAAAAGTAGAAACTTGCTCTACAACATTAAATAGCATTACACACACACACACACACACACACACACACACACACAGTGTATTTAAGATTAATTATTTACTTACATCATCCATTTTGTATTCTGTAATAAATATGATGCGTCATTCAGCACTAAAATATTAAAAACTGAAACAAAGGAGGAAATCTGATAAAATGTAAAATTGTAAATAAAAAAATTCCCAAAGATTTAAGGTTTTAAAAAATAAAGAAAAGAGAAACAAGAAAGTCGATAAGACAAAATTCCATTGATAATGTTTTGTCAACATTTGGCCTCCATAGTTAAATGAAGTTATTAAATCACTGAATTTAAATTATTCATTTGAAAAACCTGTTGTGTTTTTAATCCTTTGATTCCTTGATAGTTTACAAACAATGTAAATCATTTCTCAATGTTTACTTCCTGTGTGACATCGTCCGTCAGCAGCTGATCGAGATTCAATTGATTTAACTTTAAATCATTTAAATTATATTTTCACTCTGGTGCCGCCGGTGTTTTTTTCCCTCCTCTTTAAACACTCGTTCATTCTCCTCCACCTCCTGCTCTGACCTCGGCCTCCCCGCCTCCCGCTGTGGTATCCCAGAGGCCCCCGGGGCACCAACCTCCTTCCCCTGCAGCCCCCCCTCCACAGGAAAGCCCCCAGACTGGCTCCAAATACCTCCACCTTCCCCTCGCTCAGAGGCGGGCGGAGGCCCCTCGCGGCCTCGCCTCTCCTCCACCGCGGGCCTCGGAAATACCGGAGCTCCCCGACTGAGGTTCATCTGCTGCTGAAGCTTCACAGACGAGATCTTCAGCTTCAGGTTCCTTCTGGAAACGGATCTAATCTGAGCTGAGACGTAAAAGTGACACTGACCAGAAAGAAGCATCATCGAGTGACAGACATGTTGTTGTTGTTGTGACGTGTTGTTGTTGTGACATGTTGTTGTTGTAACGTGTTGTTGTTGTTTAACAGCTGAAGAAGAATCAAATGTTTCCTCTGATCCTCGATGAGAATCTGTTTTCTTTAAATAATTGTTTCTGGAAAATAAAAACAAAAAACTTGTGTTTTCTGTCAATAATCGTTTGACTACAGTTCCCATGATGCTTTGGGAGAGAGACTCACGGCTCTGTTGTTGATAAAGTAAAAATTGTGAAATATGTGAAATGTAATTATTAATCTCCATGACAACGCAGGGCTTTGAATCAAAGGAATTTCTCATATTTATGGTTTAAACATATTTTCACTTTTTTCATAATAAATTAAATAAACTTTAAATAAATGATCAGTGAAAAGTGTCCATGATAAAAACTGATCATAACACGCCACCTAGTGTTCTAAAATGTAAATGAGACATGCCACTGACTCAGATTTTCTCCTGCTGGTCAGTCGTGGTAAGTACATTTACTCAAGTACACTTTTGAGGTGCTGAAGTATTTTAAATTTAATCTTCACATCAGGAATGATTGTCACTTAGATTAAATCACGTGTGTTTACCTCACATGTCAAAACATCAACAACAATGATCCAATCAACTTATTCTCTGTGATCAATATTTCTATTTTTGATAATAAAATGTGTCTTGTTGCTGTGACGTCTGTGACGAACATGTCTCAGAGTGCGATCCTTAAAATAATCATTATATTTTTCACATCTCTTCTTCCACTTTTGTTGACTCTTTTATTTTAATCTCTTAAATCACTTTAATGTTGATTTCACAAAAAACAATGAAGAAAAAACAAAACAAAAAGTTTCATTAATCTTGTGCGAAACTTTTCAATGAGAATCAAACTTTTGATTTGAAGTCGTTTCCTAAAGATTCTGTGTCGTCGCCAGTGACGTGAGATTTAATCCAGTTCATCTTTAACTGTGAAGAAAATCAACTGAAGAACCTCGAAGACGTTTTTGTCTTTGACTTCAGATGTGAGTCGAGTTTCCTCTTCAGATTAAATTAAAAGAAAAAACAGAAAACGCTCCATTTGCTGAGATATTTATTTACACATTTAACTAGTGGCCATTATATGAAAAGAAAGAACATTTTTACAGTTTATTTACATCACCTGTAAGGCATTATGAAAAAATGTACATTGAAACTTGACAAGAAAAACCATAACACACATAAAATGAACAGAGCTAAATGAATTTACATGAAAGTATAAAATACAAATGATAAAACTTAAATAAAATGAATGTTCGGAACACGTGGGAGGAAAAATAATCTCACATTATTAATCTGGTCTCGCTCTGCGGCTCTTTGAGTGTTTCATCAAACATCTGGAGTGAAGCGAGACGAGGGAACGTTGACGTGAGCTGCTCAGGTTTCTGGATTATTCATCTCAATCTAAACCATATTGCACATATTTGATTTTTCAAAAGAGTTTGAGCACAAACACAAAAATAATCAGCGTCTTTTACCTTCAACACATCGGAGTTATTTCAGAGTCGTCGTTTCACGTCATGTTAGAATGAGCGAGGATCATCTCGGACTGTGTTCATTTATATTTCATCAATTAAATATGAATTATTCTCAGAAATCTGCCCGACGTCAAACATCCAGACAAACAGATCAGTTTTGAAATGAACGGTTGTGACATGAAGCCTGATGATCGTTTTCATCTGCTGGTTTTCACTGAGAACATTTTGATCATCTCTCAGGTGAAAACACATCCGACAGTTAATCACTGAAACACTCGAACTTGTTGGAGATAAAGATTCAAACACTTCAGAGCTGAAAGTTGAAACTGAAACGAAGTTTTCCACTGTGATGACGTTGATGAGGACAGAAGAATGATTCCACGTGTTAATTGTCGGTTCGTGTGATCGCTGACGGAGGAGTGTCTGTGAGCAGAGGAACGTTAGACCTGAAACATCTCGACCATCGTTTGTTTCCTGTGACGACTTCCACATTTTTCATCTTTATCTGATGATCTGTCACAGAAGTTATAACTTTTCATTAATATTCAAACTTCGTCTCCAGTCTTTCTATCGTAGCGTGTTTCATCAACACACACGTGTGCTGCTGAGTCTTAGTGTGATGTCAGAGATCACGTGACGTCAGAGAAAAGAATCTGAACCACGTTGTCATGGTTTCACATCCCGTCACGATAAAACTGTAAAGAGCTGGCTTCTGATTGGCTGATGTACAACAACAACAACAACAAGTCTTATTGGTGGAGTGAGAGAGCAGAAAACGGGGGGGGGGGGGGGGGGGGGTGTCTGAGGAAAAAATATTTTCGTTGTTGAATTCTTAAAATGATGATGATGACAGCAGTGACGTGTTTTAATCTTTACGACCTCAGTGTTTCTGTTCGACTTCAGGATGGACTTTTTGAAATTAGAGAAAATTCTGGTGAAAATCATAAAGAAGAAAAATGTTATTAAGATTGAAGCTCGTGTGTGTGTGTGTGTGTGTGTGTCTGTGTGTGTGTGTGTGTGTGTGTGTGTGTGTGTGTAGTGGTAGGGATGAACTACATTTAATAGTGTTTAAATCAGGAGTGTTAAACACAGACAGGCCTGCAGGGGGCGTCCTGTGTCTGAGATTATAATCTAGATTCATTCATGAATTTCAGGATTTCTAGTGTTGCTCGTTGTTGCCGTGGTGATAATATTAACATGTGTGCGTCTCGATGCCACACAAACAGTTTGTAATGTTTCATTTTCAGTTAATGACTCAATGTTTTGGCTCCAACAACAAATAACTGAAACTATTTTCATATTTGATTCATCTGCTTTTTACAGGAGAAGATTTCTGAAGGTTTAGTTCAAAGAGGAAAAACGTGTTCGTTCGTTTCCTGTAAAAAAGGATGTGATTATATTTTGTTGTTTACTCGATGACGATCGTTGACTTGACGTGTTCTTCGATTGTGATTTGGAAAATCTACGATGTACAAAATGTCTTTAAGATTCTTCCCATGTTATTTTCTATTTGTCAAGAGATTTAAAAAGTTACGGTTTAAAGTTGGAGCCTCGTGAATTTTCTGGTTAGAGCTAAAAATAAAAGCAGCAAATGAAACAACAGTGTGAAATAAAAATCCACGAGGACAGAAGTTAATAATTAAACCACAGACGAGTCGAAGCCTCAGAAAAGGATTAGCACCGACATCAGAGCTGGAGTCTGAGGATCAACCGGTGAAATACTGGCTCAACCAATCACAGGCCAGGATCAAGTGTTTGCACCCGGCCAGCGGCTGAAAGTCTGTTTGATTTCTCCGCCTTTGAGAATCTGCTGCTTCATCAAACTAAACCTCTACGTGAAATACTGACGACGGCTGTGGAGATTCGAACCGACCGCTCGGGGCCCTGCGACTCCTGGGGGCCGCTCTTCCTTCACCCACCTGGACGCTCAAGCTGACGGCTCCTCCGACCTCCACCTTCGCTCCCGCCTCGTGTTTTTGCTTCAAGCTTCGGAGTGAAGAGTTGAGCTTCCAGCTTCAGCGGCGACAGGACGAGCCGACGTCTGGCTCTGAAGCTCACGGCCGACTGACGCCAGCTTCATCCTCCTCCACAGCAGCATCGAGGTCTGTGAGCGTTAACTCCTCAGCGCCGGGCTGGTGTTCTTATCCACCTCTTTGATTCCGTCCTTCGTCAAAGCAGAAAACACCTGAAAGAAAACAGGAAATGAAAAACGTGAAGCGAGTGAATCACAAACAAATTCTCAACTTTTTTCTAGAAAAGAAAAGTGAAGAATAAAAACTCCCTCCTCTCATTTCTGATGCTGACGCTCTTCTGCAGAAACTGACCTGAGCCCAGCGGCGGTTTCTGCTGATCATGTGCGTGTTGGCCATGGCGCTGAAGAGCGTGTGCGACTGCAGGTCTTCTGGGAGGCGAGTGAGGAACTGAGCGATGTGGATGAAGTCCATCTGCAGCAGGACCTCCTCGTACAGACGCAGGATACCCAGCCCCGTCCGAAACAAGCTCTCCTCCCCGTCCCGACAGAAGACGTCCCACACTCGACACGCCACGTCCAGGGGGAGGGACTTACTGTACAGCGTGAAGATCCTGTGCAGACGGACACTTTAGATTAATCTGGAACCAGAATATCATCATCAGCTGTTCGTTGGACGACATCAGACTCACCAGTCGATGAGATAGAGGTCAGGGGTCAGGCTGTTCGCCTGGAAGTGGCTGAAGAGACGAGGAAGATTCTCCTCAAAGAAAACCTCGAACGCTGCAAAGTACTTCAACATCTGACGGAGAAGAAACGGACAACGATCAGACGACGGAGGAAACAGACGCGTTAACCAAGTAACGTGGGTAAGGACGTACCAGCTCGTGGTCGACCCTGAAGAACGCCATCTGACAGGGTTTATTGAGCAGGTTGGCGAAGGTGATGAAGGCTTCCGCCTCCTCCAGGTTGAGGATCAGAACTGCAGCGATGAACGACATCCCCTGAACCTGGAAGCACCCAGAAACATACGTGTTCATCTGGGTCATGTAAACATTCTAGTTTTCAACCAAACATGTAGAAGTAAGAAGCTCTGGGCAGGAAGTCTGTGCCTCGTTGTGTTGACTCAGTCTCCTGCACGAAGACAATCACAGAATTTAAAGTTTTTATAAATCTGTCGTTCATGTGGACGATTGTTATCAGCTGTTCTCCGGGGCCCCTCCCAGCCCCTGAGTGTCAATCAAACTCACGTAGCCGATGTCGGGTCTGTAACAGGTGTAAGCTCCGAGGACACTGTGGAGGAGGTCGTGGTAGGGTCCGCCCTGAGGAGACAGGAAGTCATGAGATCAGTGTCCTCAACGCTTCATTGGGTGACGTCTCAGTTACTGGAATCAGCTCCAGAAACTAAACGATGACATGACGTTACCTTCTGGAAGATGAAGAGGGAGGGGAACGTTCTGGAAATGTCCAGTTTGATGAGGTCCAGACTGGACTCTCTGTCGGCCAGAGACGCTCCTCCATCTGAGACACACACACACACACACACGTTTAGTGTCCAGTTCTGACTGTCGGACAGAGTCTGGTGTCACACCTGCTTCATACCACTCTCACTGTCGTTCACTGAACTGGTCTCGCTGTAGCTCCTCCACTTCTCTTTGGCTCTGGACAGAAAGATCTCGTACAGCTCTGCACGAGACAGAAAGACACGTCAGACCAGGATCAGACCAGGATCGTAAATCTTTTTCAAACCAAGTTTCATTTCCAACAGGCTTCTTCCAGCAGATTCATCAAGTGAGAGTGAATTTAAAAAGTGTGTCAGTTCTCACCGGCCGTGATGTTCAGCTCGTTGCAGATGGCGAGACTCCACACTCGACCTCTGACGCTGGGAGGAAGTCCCTGCCACCACAGCTCCCTCACCCGCCTCGTCCCCTTCCTACACACACACACACACACACACACACAC